GAGATAAGATACAGGGTGGGAGAGGGGACATCTAGACATTAGTGTCCCCTTCTGCCCTTCCCCGGCCCTGCACAGAAAGCAGGAGGCTCCTGGGGGTGGGAAGAGGCAGCTCCAAAGCAAAGTGCAGGAGATGTTCAGTGGGCTGAGGTGGGGTAGCTGAAGTTCTGGGCTTGATAACCTCTCGGCCAAACCAGTCAGGATCACCTGTCAGAAGCTTCAAGATCTACCAGGAGATCCCGATCTACAGGTTGGTGACCACTGCAGTAGAACAACCACGAGGACAACCCTTCCATCACCGACCCCAAACCCAACATGGCTCCTCACTGTGGCTGTGGGTCCCTACAGCCCCTCCCTTCTCTACATGTTGGACAGGCTGCACTTTGCACACAGCACCTGAAGAAAGGGGGTGTCACATCAACAGACTGTAGATATGTGGGGGAGTCCTGTCTGTGTGGCTGTGACACATGGTGGAAGCTCAGTGTAAGACACGCACAGACTCTTGAGCAGGGGGCATTGTGGGAAAAATGACGACTCCCAAAGTCCTTGACAGTGGTTTTATTTCTCCCATTGTCCCAGGAATAGACACTGCCCTCGTGTTCATGGAACTGCCCTCTTCCAACCCTGACCTCCCTGGCAGCAAACTGAAGCAGCTCCGCCTCTCGCTCACCCACCCCTCAAAGCAGGGCAAGCAAACCTCCCGCAATGCCCCTTTGTTTTTGACAGCAACACATCACTTACTTGGCTTACGGACGGACTTTGCCATGTGGTACATTAAGAGATACGCTGTGGAACTAGAACAGAAACAAGAGAAGTGACTGTGAATACCTCACCAAATGGAGGCTGCATCTCTCCCCAGAAGCATCTTAAAAAAAATCTAATGAAGTGGGCTGTGCCCACAAAAACTCATGATCTCATCTACATGTTTTGTTAGTCTTTAAGGTGCTGCAGGACTATTTTTTCATTCTGAAGTTCTTCCAGTTACAGACTAATTCAGCTACCTCTCTGAGGCTCATAAGCATCTTGTCAGTCTGGGAGTTTACTGGCGACTTCACCCTGAAGGATCCTTTGGAATATGTGTATACTATTGAAGCTAAACAATCTGTGCCCTCTTGTGTTTAGCTGTGACACAAGGGGAACCTTTCCCCGACTAGAAGAGCTCCAAGTAAAAAGCTTCCCTCTCTCATCTTCAGAAATTGGTTTGGGCTTCTTTGATATTCTGGGACCAAGATGACTACAAGAGCACTGCACACATACTTAGATGAATGAGAGATTCTTCCTGCTCAGGAAAAAAAACAAAAAAACCCCACTGTAACTACCCCAACCATCAGACCAGGAGAAGAGAAGCTCTTCTCTTTCTCTAGTTGTTTACATTTGTTAGCTGTATGCTTGGAGGGGATGGCGGTGGAACGTGACAAATCTTGCAGCCTTGTAAATAAGCTGACATTTTTGTTGTACCTTCACCAACATTCCAGAATGAATGAACAAAAGATGGGCTGGTATCTTTAAATTTCCCTGCACATGTAGGTTGCTAAAGGTTAACATTGTGTGTAGATATTGACTATATAGAGCCATGAGGTGCTAAAGTAATAGCTAAATAACCCTAAAACTATGACAGGTCCTGCTAGATTCTCTACTCCTTACCATAGGAGGTGCATTCAGTTCCAAGGCGCACCACATGGTGTTGGATCCTACACTGTCTTGGATCCTACACCACTTAGGATCCAAGAGAGCTTCACATGCTTTGACAAGTAGACAAACCACTAGATGCTGGAAACAAGGAGTGACTCTAGATCAAGATGGAAAATGTCATTCTAAAAATTAAGGAAATAATTAAAAAAAGTAAAAAGTTAACTCTGCAAAGTCTGGGGGGAATTAAGCAGTTAAATGTTGTATAAATGCTATAAAGGCAACTTGTTATAAAAAAAAATTCTTGGTTTCTTTGTAGCCATTCTAATGAAAAAATAAGCCCTTTTCTGAAAATTATCTGTAAATAATCCAGGCAAAAATAATCTAATTTGTGTGTGTATGTGTATGTGCACATGTATGTACGTATATGTATATATACAAAAATGTAGTATAAAGATGTAAGGGTTTTAAAATTTAACCAACAATCATAATTTGTACATTTTTATGTCCTTAAAATAAATGTTTAATAATGCCATTTAATTTCAAATTATAAAACTAACAAAATTTTTTTGCCATACACTGGTAACTAATGTTGCTTGGCGTTTGGTATTTAGCATTTAATTTTTAAGTTACCTTAATGTAGAAAGTTTAATATTTTTTATAAACTAAGTTATAGATGTTATAAAAGAAGGTAAAACAAAATTTTTTAAAAAATCTAAATTTCTCGTTTCTTGGTAAAATAGCAAGCAGCCATAGTAAAAAAAATTACAGGGAAGCAACAATGTTAGGAACTCCGAGCCTTAAGGTAGCTCTGAGTAACCAAACCAACATGTTAATAAAAGTACATAAAAATCTGTAAGGACAAAAAATTACATTTAATGTAAAATTAATATAGCTAATATAATGTTATAAAAGTTAAACTCTAAAAAATGCATTTTCCTATAACATATGCAACGTATATTATAGCAAAAATAAATAAACAAACCCTGCTACTTAACATCTTATTAGGGCCACAATGGTTTATGTATTCTTTTTCAAGTTATTTAGTGTTATAAAAACAAAACTTAAAAATAAAAAGTAATCAAAACTCTGGAAATTCATTGTGTCCCTTCTAAGGCTGAGTTTCTGGGTTGTACATAACTTTAAATGTAAAAGCGAGCTAAAAATACAAACTGCTTAGCTGTTAGGGAAGGGTTAAAACTGTCCATAAGTAACAGTACAAAGGGGCTGTAAATGGTTAATATACCTGGCTCATATTATAACCCTCCAAAAAATTAGCAAAAAAAAAAAAAAAAATTATATACACACAGAAAGCTAAAATCTAAAAACAAAATAAAAAAGCCTGTTGTTATGCATAATACTCCTATCTGTAAATTAGGAGCTGCTAAAGTTCCTGTTAAAGGGGACACAATAGCAGTTTTCAAGTATCTAAAAGGGAGTGTTCCAAGGAGGAGGGAGAAAAATTGTTCACCTTGGCCTCTGAGGATAGAACAAGAAGCAATGGGCTTCAACTGCAGCAAGGGGGGTTTAGGTTGGACATTAGGAAAAACTTCCTGCCTGTCAGGGTGGTTAAACACTGGAATAAATTGTCTAGGGAGGTTGTGGAATCTCCATCACTGGAGATAGTTAAGAGCAGGTTGGATGGACATCTGTTACGGGTGAAGATGGTGCTGATCCTGCCATGAGGGCAGGGGATTGAACATGACCTCTCAAGGTCCCCTCCAGTTCTAGTATTGTAGGATTCTATGATTCAGGACCCTGGGAAGGAGAGTGATCAAATTTCACGAGGCATAAAGGATCTGCCGACAAAGGGTTTTGGGGTTGGCAGATCCCCGTCTAGACTACCGCGCTATGTCGACAATCAGCTGATCAGCACAGTGCGGTGGCCATTTTGATGTAAATGAAGCGGTGATTATTTAAATCGCCGCTTCATTTCCCTTTGCCGAGTACACTCATCTACATGGCTCCGTTGATGGAGCCATGTAGTCTAGACACACCCAGAGAGACCAAAGGTCCATCTAGCCCAGTATCTTGTCTTTTTACAGTGGCCAATGCCAGGGCCCCAGAGGGAATGAACAGAACAGGGAATCATCAAGTGTTCCCTCTCCTGCCCCCCTTTCTTAGCTTCTGACAGAGGCTAGGGACACTATTCCTACTCATCCTGGCTAATAGCCATTAATGGACCTAACCTCTATGAATCTATCTAGCTCTTTTTTGAACCCTGTTAAAGTCCTGGTTTTGACAACATCCTCTGGCAAGGAGTTCCACAGGTTGACTGTGTACTGTGTGAAGAAAAACTTCCTTTTGCTTGTTTTAAAGCTGCTGCTTATTCTTTTAATGATCCCTAGTTCTTGTTTTATGAAAAGCAAATAGGACTTCCTTATCTATTTTCTCCACACCTGCTTTTCTTACTTTCTTAAGTAAGATGCTGACACTAACTGAATAGAATTATCCTGGTATAGAAAAAGCATTATGCAATTGTGTGGGCATTCCACACTCAAGGGATTGACCAGCCCACAAGAACCTGAGGAGTCAGGAATACTGACCCTGAGACTCCTATGAGTCATGTCTCTTGAACTCCAAATGCGTAGCAGACCTAATCTCAATGCAAAGTGGAAGGTGTAAACAAGCCAAGGAGTGGAACAGAGTTTGGCCTGGGGACTAAGCCAACCAAAAGACACACAGAACCACTGACCTAAGCAATGATCAGCAAACTAATAAGAAAAATGGCTCTGAAAAAGTTACACTAACAGTGGGATGTCTGAAAGTCTCAAAGTAAAACATGGCATTAGAAATATGCGGAAAGGCTGAGGGATTTGGGCTTGTTTAGTTTGCAGAAAAGCAGAGTGAGGGGGGATTTGATTGCAGCCTTCAACTTCTTGAAGGGGGGTTCCAAAGAGGATGGAGAGAGGCTGTTCTCAGTGGTGGCAGATGGCAGAACAAGGAGCAATGGTCTCAAGTTACAGTGGAGGAGGTCTAGGTTGGAAATGAGGAAAAACTATTTCACTAGGGCTGTGTCTAGACTGGCCACTTTTTCCGCAAAATCAGCTGCTTTTGCGGAAAAACTTGCCAGCTGTCTACACTGGCTGCTTGAATTTCCACAAAAGCACTGACGATCTCATGTAAGATTGTCAGTGCTTTTGCAGAAATATTATGCTGCTCCCATTCGAGCAAAAGTCTTTTTCCGAAAAACTTTTGCGCAAAAGGGCCAGTGTAGACAGCAGAGATTTGTTTTCCACAAAAAAGCCCCGATTGCAAAAATGGCGATCGGAGCTTTTTTGCACAAAAGCGCATTTAGATTGGCCACGGACGCTTTTCCAGAAAAAGTGCTTTTGCGGAAGAGTGTCCGTGCCAATCTAGACACTCTTTTTCTAGATTGGCCATGGACGCTTTTTCGCAAAAAGTGCTTTTCCGGAAAAGCGTCCTGCCAATCTAGACGCTCTTTTCCAAAAATGCTTTTAACGGACAACTTTTCCGTTAAAAACATTTCCGGAAAATCATGCCAGTGTAGACGTAGCCTAGAAGGGCGGTGAAGCACTGGGATGGGTACCCTAGGGAGGGGGTGGAATCTCCATCCCTAGAGGTTTTTAAGTCCTGGCTTGACAAAGCCCTGGCTGGGACAACTGAGTTGGGATTGGTCCTGCCCTGGGCAGGGGGCTGGACTAGATTACCTCCTGCCAGCTCTAGGATTCTAAGATTCTGTACCTGTTCTTTTTATCCATTGTATTCTGGTCTCCTGACACCTGTATAAACAAACAGAAAGGGTCATTTCTAAAGGCAATTGTCCAAATATTTATTATAGGTCAATAACAAGCAGGGTAGGGAGGTGAAGACAATATCTTATGTATCCTTATGGCTGTGTTAGCATTAGACAATGGGTGATAAACTAGATGGGAAGGAGTCTATTCTCTGCTTTGTTCCAGCAGTGACAACAGAACAACAGCCATCTGAGCAATCACTCCAGATGTTCATTATGTCCCTCCTCCAACAGGATGGTAAAACATCTGGAGAGAGGGGGAATTCTGTGCTATTCAAACACCATATTGTATTGAAGGGAGGCTAAATGGAGTATGTCCATGTTATAACACAAGTGATATACACATGCCGAATTTTGCTCTCAGTTACAATCCAAAAGCTTTGAGTGAGTCACTGCAGATTTACAACTGTATAAAGGCATACATAATTTGGTTTGCAGTGTTTTCAATTGGCTACAGGGGTAGTTCCAGATGTAGTATGTCCCTCTTGTACTACCTGTCTCATATCCCTTAGTGGAAACTTGGACATGCCCATGTTTGCTTTCCCTAAAAGCAGGTGTCCATTACCTTATACACCCTGGTGTCATTGAACTCGTACCAGCAGTTGTCTTCATATGACTTTATCTCAGCCACATAATGGCCACCGTAAATTCCTCCATGATGGTGACACATGGCAAAGAGCTCATAGTGTATGATCTAGGAGAAAGTCATGAACAAATCCAGATCAGCCATCTTTTCTGTTTCAGTGCAAACAGACGTTCAGGGTATGTCTAGACTACAGGGTTTTTTCGAAAAAAAAAGTGGCCTTTTTAAAAAAAAACTTCACCTTTGTCTAGACTGCCGCCATGTACTTTCGAAATGAAATTGAAAGAATGCAGCATTTTTTCCCACAGCGGTAAACCTCATTTTATGAGGAAGAATGCCTTTTTTTGAAAGAGCTCTTTTGAAAACAGGTCTTCTTAACCACAAACTGCTTTTTTGAAAGAGAGCATCCAGATTGCCTGGGTGCTCTCTTTCAAAAAAGCGGCTCCCTTTTTCAAAAACATTTGTTGCTTTCTAGACGATCTCTTTTGAAAGAAGCTTTTTAGAAAGATTCTTTTGAAAAAGCTTGTTTCAAAAGAAGCGTGTAGTCTAGACGTACCCTTAGAGGGATGGACAGAGAGCTATTTGCAACCTTACTTTTAGCCAGACAGCATTTCTATCACTCTACCTATAAGTCATTCCTAGGCCTCTGAGCAGAACTCCTCAATGGCAAATTAATTACAGAAATCATGGAAATAAAATTTTGATTTCTTTACTAAGGCTATGTCTACACTGCACAGTGATTTCAGAATTAGCTATCCTGGAATAGTTATTCCGACATAGCTTATTTCGAAATAGCACACCTACCCTGCAGGGAAAGGCAGGCTTCCCTAATGTAAATGTGCTATCTTGATTTAGAGCCCCAGGAAGAATTACTTAGAATGGCCCTGGTGAGGGGCTATTTCAAAATAGCAGACATGGAGCATCTACACATGCCTTATTTCGAAATAGTTATTTCAGAACAGGCATTATTCTTTGTAGAATGAGGTTTACAAATTTCGGAATAAGATGCTTGTTATTTTGAAATTACTTCAATATAACGGAATGGCTGTATAGACACATGCATAGTTATTTTGGAATAATGGCCATTATTCCAAAATAACTTTGTTGTGTAGACACACTCAAGGAGAGAAAGATCTGATTATACTGGCGACACTGCACTGACAATGTAAAGGCTGACATCTGGTTGTGTGCAAATATGACTGTGTAAATGTTCACAATGTAAACAACAATTTTATATTTATAGCTATAAATAAATACATGACACCTGTGCCATATCTTAAATGTCTTATGCAAAAAACATTTAAAGGTCTGTTGCAACACTTGAGGTGGAGATACTGCTCCTTTCTAACAGGAAAACTGGGAACTTCTGAGCTGAGAGGACAACCCTCTTTGGATTCATTTAACAGTGTCCCTCTGGCCCATGCAGTTAGGGATAATGTGACAACTGTCATTTATAGCTTGGTTTAACTAGAGACTATCATGCACACAATGAAGTGTTTGGATTGGGATTATGTTCTTTGTCTACAGTACAGAGAAGATTGAAGCTGCCACTGCTGATCTTCTGGAATTTGAGTTAGCAGGTCTGCTGACGACATGCTAATTTGAACGGAGAGGGGCGCTCCAGTCGGTGCTGGTAGTCCCGCTTGCACAAGGAGTACAGGAAGTCAAAGGGAGAGTGTTCTCCTTTTGACTTCCTGCAGTGTGGACAGCACCAAAAGCTGAGTTAAGGTAATTCAGCTTCAGCTACGCAATTAATGTAGCTAAAGTTGCCTATCTTAATTCAACCTTATCCCATGGTGTAGACATACCCTGAAGAACTGACAGAGGAAAAGAGGTTACTTACTTCATAGTAATTGATGTTCTTCAAGCCGTGCTAGCTACATGTATTCTACTCTTAATATTGCTTAATCAGATTTATTCCCCTTGTTCTTCCTCTCATGGTCACTGAATGCCCTTGCACTCTCTTCCATTCTTGCTTTCCTGGGACAAGAAGAGTAAGTCTAGACTACATGGCTCCGTCGACGGAACCATGTAAAATAGTTTACTCGGCATAGTCAAAGAAGCGGGGATTTAAATAATCCCCGCTTCATTAAAATAAAAATGGCTGCTGCGCTATGCCGACAATCAGCTGATCCGGCACAGCACGGCAGTCTAGACGCGGCGCAGTTGACAAGGGAAGCCTTTGTTGACCGCTCTGGTGTGCCTCGTGAAACCAGGATGCTGAGCTAGCCTCCTGCATCTTTTGCCTTTCTGTAGACTGATGAATTTTAAAGCCAGATGAGACCATTGTGATAATCTATCCTGACCTAAGTAACATGGGCCACAGAAGCTTGGCCAGTCTCTTCTACATCAGACCCATAATTTCTATATGAGCTATGCAATGTCCTTTTAGAAACACTTCCAAAGATGTCATCATTTTACATGCAAAAGTATTCCCCACTCAAAATATTGTTTTCATGGAGAGAACACTTACTGGGCAGGTAGCTAAAAATTCAAAAAGTGTTTTCATTAAACTTGATAACACGACATTCAGATCCCATGGAGCAGGTGGAAATATTTAAAGTAGGTACATAGGGAATCTTTTAAAAACAGGATGAGAAAATATATTAAAACAATCAGTCATCCAAGTCGTCAAGATGTTGGGATGACAAGTTCAGAAAAAGAATTGTCCTACTCTTCTGCAATATCAAGTTGGGAATGAGAAGGAGTTTGATTGCTCGTTGTATCGACAGTCTGACCAATTCTGGAAACCAGCAATGTTTGTGACTATGATGTGATCCTGTCTTTGTTTACACAAAACTCTACCTGCTATTCGGCTGGTGCTAAAAAATATAGACTGTTCCTTTTCTGGGATGGTAAGAAGGTGTCTGGCAAAGACCCCCGGCTATGACCTGCTCTTGAGTTGTACAGGTGATCTTTTTGTGTCCCATGGCAAAAAGGTCTATTTCGGGCATTCCCCAAGTCTGAAAAATGGACTCTGCTATATCTGCGTGGAGGGACCATTCATACACTAATAAAATTAATCTAAAACAAACTGACTAAATCACTATTTGTACTAGACTCTGCTACTTGAAGTTAAAACAGAAGTCAGGTACCGCAAAAGTGTTCTACAGTCAGTCAAAGGCTGTAGTAGAAGGGACTGTGTAGTAGCTTATCTGCTCCACCCCTTTCTGCCTAGAGATGTGTGAAAGAATGTGAGGGCACTCACTGAGCACGTGAGGACCAGGGGACACAATACCAAGAGTGGAAGATGTAACAACATCACACAATGAAAAACCATCCCAGGGAGGTTTGCTTGCAGGTTCAAAGCTATGAACTCATCTCTGTAAGGGGTGGGGGCATGCTCTAACTCCTGAAAAACTGAAGCAGTAGGAGTCATGGTAGAGAGGTAGTGGGAGGAAGCCATCAACCATCTGCCTAAAGATGGAAATGGTATCTAGGGATACCGTGGTTCAGAGAAGGGCAAATGTCAGGCCAGGTACACTCCATCATAGTTCACAGATTTTCCTGAATGGCAAATTTCTGTCCTTCAGAGACAAGATCTCAAGACAAGGTGTCATTCAACACAAGTTCAAAGTTCACTACAATAGCTTTGGACAAGGGTAGACCTGAACTCTATGGGCATGTCTACACTGGGGAGTTATTTTGAAATAATTTCCCTTATTTTGAAATAATCAAGCAAGCGTCCACAGAACCAAGCCCGTTACTTCGAAATAACGGGCTTATTGTTTTGAAACAATAATTCCTGCTTGTGAAGTGGAATAAGCTTATTTTTAAATAGGTATTTTGGGAGTCGTTATTTCAAAATAACTTCTTTTGAAATAACCTGATAGTGTAGACATAGCCTATAAGTCCTAGTTTGGGAAGTTAGTATATTTTCCATCCCGTTCTTTCTGTCATTACCTGTAATAGGTACATACAGAATAAAATTCACCTCAGAGCTCAGTGGAAAGTCCATGTACTTACATACGTTTTCGACTCCACTGTCAGTGAAAAAGGCACAGACACATTGCAGTGCAGCTTTCTGAACCCAGCTTCACCAAACCAATATCTCTTCAAATTGAGAACAAGAATCGGGGGTAGAGTTTCGAAGTCGTAGTGCTGAAAGAGGCAGCAAAACAGCACATTACACACCACATTGCTACTGTCTCCATTCTAAAAATTTCCTTCTATAGACAGACCGTTGAAATAAAATACATATTTATTTTTAAAAATCAGTTCCTCTCTAGATCTATTTCAGGTCTGAGCAGCCCCGTTCAGCGCTGAGCACAACAGAACAGTCTAACCCTCCTAGCTTACCGACGTGGCATCTTGCTTCCTTTGACACTTTTCACAGTACAACTGCTCATCCCCAGTAAAGTAATTTACTTTCTGTACATCATCCAAAGCCTTATCCTGTGAAGAGACAGAAATTACAACATGATGTAGCTTTCTTATGATGGAAAGAGAGGAGCATGGATCATAGCCCACAAGGCACTGAAGGGACAGAATTATAGTAAGCAATATTCAATCTGTTTTTGTTCCCATGTGAAGAAGTACATCAACTTTGCTAACAAATGAGTTTTTTCCCTCAAACTTTTGGGACACAGAGCAACCATAGTCTTACTGAGGAAAACACTTAAGCAGGAGAGTAATTTTAAGAACATTCTCAATGCCTCTTGACTTTAATGAGTTTTAAGCATATCTGCTCAAACATAAGCTTACGTTCTTATCTGAACAGAAATTGACTTAAGTATTACCCATGGCTTTATTTTTCTGTTCAAATGTACATTTTAATTATATCAACTTCCTTTGAAAGTATTTTATCTCATCGAAGCAGCAGAGAAGAATTCAATAGTCCCTATTTAAGCAATTGCCATTTTTTAGTTAGCTTTTGGGGAACAATGCATTTTGCCCCAATTCTGCAAAGACTTAGGCCTTCTCTAGACTTAAAGTGTTATGCTGCTGTAACTCATAGTGAAGGTGCTACCTACACCAATGGGAAAGCTTCTCCTGTAGGCATGGATACTCCATGGTGCAAAGAGGCAGTAGCTACATCAGTCGGTGAAGCCATCCTGTCAGCATAGCACTGTTTACACTAGGAGTGGGCCAGTGTAACTACACCAATTAAGGGTGTGGATTTTCCATCCCCCTGAGTGACACAGATATACTGACAAAAGTTTGTAGTGTAGACCAAGACTTACATGCATACTTAACTTTAAGAATGTGTAATGGTCACTATGAATACTTTCATGCTTAAAGTTAAGCATGTGCCCAAGACATTGCAGGATCAGAGCCTACACCATGTGCTTCTACCCCAGTCTATAAGAAGAGAACATGCATTCTAAGTTTGAGATCAGTTTTACAGTGGAAGAAAAACATCCCATCACTCAAAGATGTACCACGACTTAGCTCACACAGGCTATGTCTACACTGCAGGTATTTGTCAGCAGAGAGTATGCTAATGAAGCTCTCATTAGCATTTGTTGTGCTGTCATTTGCATAGTCTCTGCCGATGCTTTTTGCACAAGAGGTTTTTGCGCAAAAAGAAGAAGTATAGATGAGTCCGTTTTGTGCAAAAAACCCTTTTGCACAAGATCCCTTATGTCTCAAGAAGGAGTGTGACGGGGTGCCCTTGTCCTGCACCCGATCCATGGGCGCCTGAATGACACGGCATGGCATGGCACGAGCTGGCTGGCGAACGGGCGTTCCACCCCCTGGTGGGATGCAGGAGGGGCTGGCCAGTGAGGCGGCGACCTGTTCCCGTGCCATGGATGCCTGCGCGTGAGTTGGCTCCTCCCTGCTCCCCTCCCCCTCCTGGCGCTGCTGTGCGTGCTTCCTCCAGGCACCAGAGCTTTAAATGCCTGCACTTTGGGAGGGGGGGCAGGGCGCCGCGGAGGGAGATACAAGTGGTGCCCTGCTGGGAAGAGGACTGCCCTCGGGTGGAGATGGGGCTCGGGTTCTTCTGGGTTCCCCCGGAGGAACCCGAACCCAGAGACCCGGAGGTACCTCTGGTAACGGGACTACCTGAGACCGACACGCCCCTTCCCCAGAGACTGCCATGGGGACAGTGATCTGACGAGATGAGGAGATAGTCACTGGCGGAGGGGACTGGATGGGAAATGTAGCAATGGTAGAAAATGGCCCAGGACAGGGTGGCTAGGGCCCAAGAGGTTGATGGGTTTCAGGATTGTGACCCCTGTCAACCAGGTAGAGGTGACTGTCCTCCCATTCAGGGTCCTGGGTCAGGACCCAAGAGTGTGTGGGGGGGTTCAGGTCCCCCTACCCCGCCTAGGGGTGACTTGTGAAGACCCCTCCCTTGCCCCACAGCAGAGAGGCTGGGACAACTGAGACGTGAACCCACGGGCTTGTTGAGACTATTTTACTGTAGTGGGACCGAACTGTGGACCCTGGATGTTGACCAGATAGGGTCAAGGGAGGAGGGTTGTTGCGACGCCCACACAGGAGGTGGCTCACGACAGGGCCATTGGTTGCCCAGGGCAGTGTGGGAGTCCCATGGGTAGGGCAAGAATAACACAGGAGTCAACCCCAAAAGGTGGGTCTTGCTGCAGGGTGAATCGACCCGAGGGGTGACTTCCTGACAAGGAGGTATACAGGATCTTTTGCAAAAGGTTTTTTTTGTGCAAAATGTTTTTGCACAAAAAGCATCGGCAGAGAATATGCAAATGACAGTGCAACAAATGCTAACAGGCACTTTATTAACACACTCTCTGCCAACAAATATCTGCAGAGTAGACATACCCACAGAGTGTTAGGGTACGTCTAGACTACATGCCTCTGTCGCCAGAGGCATGTAGATTAGGCTACCAGAGGGTATGTCTACACTACAAAGTTAATTCGAACTAACAGTCGTTAGTTCGAATTAACTTTGATAGGCGCTACGCATGCAAACCGCTAGTTGGAACTTAATTCGAACTAGTGGAGCGCTTAATTCGAACTAGGTAAACCTCATTCTACGAGGACTAACGCCTAATTCGAATTAAGCAGTTCGAATTAAGGGCTGTGTAGCCCCTTAATTCGAATTAGTGGGAGGCTAGCCCTCCCCAGCTTTCCCTGGTGGCCA